CGACTATGAGAGCCATACCATATGTTCATACATTGTATCATACATACTTACCATTTTTGAAATAAATAATATTATCCCTACTGGGAAAGGACTCAGGGAAGCCCTACAGCTCTACACAGCTTAAAGTATATACTAATTTTGTATATGTAGTCATACTCTATATGTACATATTGACTATTGATATTTGTCACTGTATTTATTAGTGTAGTGTAGTACAAGGGTGGGCAGAACCAGCCCAGGGCGAACTTGAACATTAGCACACATTTGTAAACAAGCCGATGAGGCCAGAAGAACTACTTAGTTTTACGCCCGTAGTTCATTCTTAACAGTACAAAACTTTACACTGGAACTGTCGTGTGCACAATAACTTAATAGCATTTTAAATATCCCTCGACACAATCTTCCAATCGCAATTACTAATAAAATAACTCTTAAGTCCAACTGAACATTTCATTATGAACCGCCACCAACAATAATTCCAAGAGAGTCTCCACTCCCTATTGTACGCTTTTGTATTCTCGGATATTGTTTGTTTGTTTGTTTTTGCATTTTCAGTATATCTAAATTTAGATTATATGTAGATTTTGCATTTTACAATTACTTACAATTGCGTTTCAACGTATACCACTTTTTACAACCGTATCACGTTTAAACGTCCATATGTTTAAATTGTACGTTTAACATGTGCTTCTACTATAACAACCCGCTGATTTTACAATATCTAGTTGCTATTCGTAAGTTTACTGGGCATGAAGGCACAACACCAACCAGAATCCATAATTTCATACCTATCGGGCATCCCACGCATGTATAATATGCCTGGCTCGGATTTTCGTGCTGTCCAAACACCTGAGCTAAAACACCACTACAGCATAAAAGTATTAAGCGATGATAATCCTAGCGCGAGCTACTTTTCTTTTAGCGCACAAGAGAGAACGTCACTCCTCACATGCTTCTCCATCGTTTCGCACCAGTCATCAAAGGCTGTCCCAATGACTTAAGAGTGAATACGCATCTGGTTCATTGACCTATTAGGCTCATTCTCGTTGTTTCGTAGCGGCGAACTTAATCCCCATCCGACGCTGGAACCGTACTCAAAACTTATAATCGGACATCGCGCAGGTGTCCGTAATTCGTTCTCCCAGACACCGCACTATCCATAGCAGCATGGTTTAAGGAAGATCAAGCACCCCGTGAAATCTACATGCCTGGACAACAAGCATTTTTTAGGGCACTTCCTGCGCATTGGGGGCGTATTCGCACTCAAGAAGCGGGCCTTATCGACAGCAAAGGTAAGATCTTAGCCATATGAACATCAGACACTCACCCAGTCTACTGGCGGCTGTAAGCAATCGATTGCAATACACACATCGCACACAGGAAAATCTACA